TTTTTTTTTTTTTTTTTTTTTTTTTGAGCTCACTCCTTTGTTCATATTTGTTCCGTTTTGTGCTTATCAATTTTTAATATGCCTTAAAATGGGTTGTGATGGACAATTTTTGTTTTCCCTTGCAGCTATTTTTGCTGCTATTTCAGCTACGAGGCCTCGAGTGGATGTAGCTTATTGCATACATGCTTTGGCTAGACAATTATCAAAGACAAAATTGGCGGTATGTGTTGAGGAAAATCATATTTTTATAATGGAAACTTATCCTATGGAGCACATTTTTGTGCTAACGTAACTGCAACTAATCAAAGTTACAATTTAAAGTGCTTTCAGGGTATAATCTAAGAAATATATAGTGATCGTCAGATTTATAAATGCATGCAATATTTCTTTATGTTTTAAGTGAATAAGATTTAGTGAGTGGAGAGTAAGTTGAAGTAACACTTCTTCTATTTTACGCTTTTTAGTATTTTTTCCTCACTCAAGTACTAGTGCTAAGTATTTTAAGATGTGGGACAAATTGAATATATGAAATATAATATTATTTTTATTAAAATATCTTAATGGTTTTTTTTGTTTGTTTGTTTGCAGTGGAGTATATGAGTTTGCCTGCGAGTCAGTACTCTGTGTTGGATGCAGAGAGTATTGAGAGAGTTGACAATAGCACCTTCAGGTGTTACGTATACAATTTCAAGTTCTTTGCTTTTGAAGTGTGCCCTGTTTTGTTGGTTAGAGTTGAAGAGGAACCAAATGGTTTTTGTATCAAGCTTTTGTCCTGCAAGGTTAATGATTTTGCTCTGTTTTTTGTGTTCAAACTTCAATGTTATGTGTCCTTTTCTCCTAATGATTACTTTGTTTTTTTGTTTTTTTGTTTTTTTTCCCTTGCATTTTGTTTATGGTAGCTTGAAGGTTCACCAATTGTGGTTGCACAGAATGAGAAGATTGATGGTAAGAAGTTCATTCAAATTCTCTTTGTTTGCTGCAAAATGGTACAATTAGATTGTATAAGCAATGACTGGATTAGACAGTAATGTTTGATCTACTTTGATAGGATTTTTGTTTGTAGTGGGGTTTAATCTGCTTCAGTCTGATCTGTTGGGAACAACACCATAATTGCTAGAATCATTTTTTTTTTTAATGTTCAAGTCTGTTGATTACATAGTTTTGTTTGAAATATCCTCTTCAAAAATGGGGCAAAAAGGTTCTTATTGATATGAAATAGTAAATTATGCTTTAAATATTTGGACAATGCATGACCTCACTTCTTACAAGCTAGTTTACAATTTGATGAATTTATTGCAGCAAGGATAACATGTACTCCTGCAACCAATGCTGGTCATATTTTGAGTTTTGTCACACCAGTTTTCTCGTTTTGTGTAGTTATTATTTATCATAAATTATTGAATAAGATTTATGCAAAGTTTAAAACCGATAATCGTGTGAATCATATTGAATCGCAATGAATCGTAAATTGGATCTTGCGATTCACTCAATTTCCGATTCAACACCATGATTCCCATATTTCCAAAATAAATTTCAAACCAATGATGTAGTTTACTAACTTTAATAATTGAAATTATAAACTTTTCCAACACTTTGTAATTTTTTTTGGTCTTCCAACTGATTCATAATTTCCTCAAAATTTTAAGAATGCTGTGCAACATTTAAAGGCTTGCCAGCGTAACTGCTTCCTAGTGATGAAAATGAATAGGTGCAAAAAGTATGTTGAAGGGAAGTTTATTTGACATCCAGAATCATAAAATAGTACTGTTTTATTAATGCCATGTAACTTTTTTACTTATAACATTTCCAAATAATCCAGACTACCCAAAATTATGTACTCTGTTCAGGGGAAGTTTGTTTGACATCGAGAATCATATTTTAGTGGAATGTTGCACTTTATTTTTAGCTTAAATTTTTTGGTTCTGAGTTGAATTATGAAATGCTTTTTTTCAGGAGTGCTTTGACACTGATTTGGTGTGGGCATGCAGCTTCTATGGTGAATAGAGTATCATGCAATAGGAAACAGAGCGACTCCTCGGTGGATGAACTCACTTCAGATACAGCTATTGAGGTAATTGCTAATTGGCTTCTCTTCTAGCTGCGACATTTCATTTTGGAAGTAGTTTTTATTTTTTGCAAAATTTCTTTTGTTGTCATGTGAATTCTAGGTCAGCATTGAGATTCCTTTTGCATTTCGACCAATTCCCGTGCAAGCCATTGAATCAAACGACACTCAAGTACTAGAACAAATATTGAGGATTATGCTTCCTTGCTTTATGGCACAGGTTTGTGATTTAGATATTTTCCCCCTTTAAATCAGATTCAAGATGAAACTTGGTTCTTAGGAAATTTTGTCTTTACCTCACAAATTTGAATTTCTTTAGTCAATTTTAGTTACTTGAGGTTAAATGAATGTTGCAATTTGTCTCATATTTATATGATAAGCTGATTATGTTGAATTATATTTATGCTCTATAAGCCACTTGATTGAGTCATTTGCCACATAAAAACAGGATGGTTAGTCTTGTGAGCTTGACAGGTTTCATTTGACACCATTTCACAATAAACACGAATTGTATTTCATTTTCTGTGTTATAATAGACTTTTTCCACAGGTATTATTGGGTATCACACTTCCTAAATTAGATTTTGGATCACATGCAATGTTTGTAGGGTAAATAGGGATCAGACAATTAATGGAATGTGAATTTTACGAATCTGGGTGTTATAATGAGGGGAAAATGAAGCATTGGTTCTTTTTACCTGCTTGTTTACATACTATCACTTTTAGGGTAAATTATGTTCATTTCTGATATAAATATATGAAAAACTTATCGGCGTGTATGGTTCAAGAGTGAGGTTGTGGCCTGTGAGGTTGATTTATGATATAAATAAAATTTTTTTCAATTATATATTTATTGGGTGTATTGAAGTGTAATGCTTTGTTGTATCATTGCAGAGCCAACGTGATGAGTTGGAGGCAAAGTTTTTCGAGGAGAGAGCACCTTTGAAGCTAAATAGCAAAGCACACTCCATATTATTATTATTTTTTTTATTAAAATGAGAGTATTAGCAATTTTTATTTTTATTTTTTTGTATTAACATAATGTGATTTAAGGTTTTTGTTTTTGGTTATGGAAAATTGGAATACTGACTCATATTATGGTATATGTTTTGAAAATGGTGATGGATTATAGGTTGGTTGTTATTTATTATTATTTTATTTTTATTTTATTTATTTTATTTTATTTTTTGAGGAAAAAGGTTTGCTTTGAACAGAAGTTGAAAAATCATACATTTGATTTTTTTTTTGGAAAAAAAAGTAAAGGTGGCGTTTTTGAAAAACGTCGCAAAATGACGTCATAATTTCGTCATGTTAACTCCTCTGACGGAAATAGTTAACGGATGTATAGAATTGGTGACACTTAGAAAACGTCGTCTAAAGTATAGTGGCGTTTTTAAAACGCCACAAAGATATGACGACGGCCGTATCGTCGACGAATTTTTTAAACGTCGTCTTATCGTTTTGCGGCGTTTTCATGGCCGTTTGCGGCGTTTTTAAGATGCTGCAAATTTGCGATTTTCCTACAGTGTTCGTTGGCTATGTCGGGGATCGAGCTGCCCGATCAGCTCGTAGGGGTCCAGGGGGCAGCGCCCATGGCGGGTTCGGGCTAGCGCCCAAGCAGGGTCAAAGGACAGCGCTTGAGTGAAGAATCGTTGGTCCCATAAGTTTGCACTGATTGTAAAAATACGGAGAAGATGCATTTCTCGCTCAAGCAAACCTTTAGTGCCTCGAGCGAAGACATTTGGAATGTAACGACCTCAAAATAATAACATTAAAACCCATCAACTTAGACATGCATTAAGACAAAGAAACCAACCATCTTTCCATTAATCTGAATAGTTCTTACAAAAGTACTACATGTTAACAACAAAAGCAAATGCCCTACGGGCTTACAGCTTTCCAAGTTAACACTTGGTTACAAAAAGAAGAGTGCTAACTCAATACATATTAGGCCCTTGGCTTGAATTTACATGTAATACATCAAAAGAAAGTAAACAAAACAATCTGCCTGCCTCTAGCCTCCCAAGCTACGTCCTTGGAGGTGGCATGCTACCTGTACCTGAAAATGATGTCCCATAAAGGGTGA